TATCCTCAATCATATCTTTTCGCGCAGGAACTCATCGAGAAGGCTGAGAAACAGCCACTCATCACAATTGGTGTCCTTGTCTCCATTGTGGTGGTCATCCTCACTGTTTTCTTGAAGTTAATTTTTGGTGGAAAGAAGGTGAGTTCGTTCGTTCTGAAACGGCAGTTAGCCTTCTTATTTTCTGCCATTTTAGCAGCTGTTTTCGTACGTGGATATTGATTCCGGCACATCTAGACTGATGTTTGTGTCCATTGTGGGTTTAGGCCACGGTGGAGAAGAAACCCGAACCAGTTGCCGAGACATCCAACACGGAAGGAAGCAGTGAAGAGAAGGCAGAAGAGAATGAGGAGCCTGCTCCTGCTCGAAAGAGGCAATCCAGGCGTGAGACTTAAAAAGACGATGGTACATCAGTTTTCACTTTTTGTAGAACTCGAGCTTTAGCTGTTTCTGTGGATTGCCTTCATGGCTATATTTTTTCTTCTCATGGCTTGTCATGGATCAAACATCACAGATGTATCAGAGAGTGTAAATGATTTGATCTGTCAGGCTCGTAACAGACTGACAGTTAGCCATCCTAAAATTAGCCCTTCTGTTTTATTTTTAGCTGTGGAATTAATACAATACGTTTTGTTGCCATGTTCTCTGCTACTTGATTGATTGAGGTTAAAAATATTGTTTTAATATATAAATAATAAAAAATTATTTTAAAAAACAATTGCTTTTAATATACGAAATGCACTGAGAGAGTTGTATTGTTGGTGTGGTTGTCTTGTGTTTGCAACTAGTTGTGTTTAGAGTTCTTGCTTGCATGCAGATGAAAATTATTTAATTTTTTTTTTTGAAAATGTAAAAAAAATGCTATTTTAGTTTTTTATTGTAGTTTACAGATGAAAATTATTTAATTTTTTTTTTTTGAAAATGTAAAAAAAATGTTTTTTTAGTTTTTATTTTAGTTTATAAAAAAATATTATTTTAATATTATTTTTTTAAGTTAAGCGTGCTCAAACATTCTTTAAAAAATATAAAAAAAATAATTAATCAAAGTTCTGAGTGGCGAGATGTTTAGTCTATCTCCTCAATAGGAACAGCTGAGAGGTACCACAAGCCTATTTAAGAACCTTTGCCCGGATTTATGTAGATGTTAAGTTCTTCCAAGATCCAACGTTGTCTGAAATATATCTCATTTGAGTACTCGACTCAAAACTTGAAAAGGGAAAATAAAGGGGTTGATTCCCTGTGTCGCAGAAAACCTGTAATGGCTAATATAATAATGGCCAGAAGGTTTATAAAATTGTTAATTTCAGATCTATAAAATTAATTAAAATACATATAAATTAATTTGAATATTCAAAGGAATCAAAAATAAAAAATAAAAACAAAGTCACCGTCCAATAATCACAAAAGAAAACAACTAAAAGTAGATTTCTTGTAGTCTTTGACAACATTTTTCTATCCAACTACACTGTAATAATGCATTTGCTCTTTTAGAAAAAATCACAAGCCTTGGTTTTAGGATATCTTGATCTATTTCGCATAGCTCACTTGTTATTTAATGATTATACGGGGGTATGTATACCTTTTTGAATAATTTTAAATAATTAAATGACTTAATTGCATTCAATTTTAAAATAAAAAATAAAAAAGTTGACAAAGGATATTTTGGTTTTTTCGTTTCTAAAATATAGTAAAGTTCAACTTTAATTTTTTATAATAAATCTAAAAAAATATGAAGGATAATTTGGTTTTTTTATCTTGGTATATCATTTTTTTTAATCAATATAGCTGCTAACACGTGTAAAGGCACTGTGTCCTTTGGGTGGCATATGCAATGCCTCCCAGTTACAATAGAAGCCTTTTCATCGTGTTCTTAAATACAAAATTATTTCTTTTTCCACCAAGCATAGCATGTGCTATTGTTATTGTGGTGATTTTTCACCTATTGACTTTTTTTTTTCTTTGTCCTCGTAAAAAATTTAAGTTTTTATTTTTTTATTTCAAATTTTTTTACCCCTTTAATTTTAATTTGGCATATTTTTTTTTTTCCAATTTGGTTCTTATTGCTTGAATTTTTTATTCCTTTTCTTAGCCTTTTTGTAAAAGTATTTTTTATTTTCAAATTAATCCCAAATTCTAATGTTTTTCAATTTAATCATTTTTCTTTTAATTTTTTTTTTGTTGGCTCTTTAGTTAAGGTTTTGATGATTTTGAATTTCATCACTCAATTCAATCCAAGTTTGTTATTGTTTGTTTTTTTTTAAGTTGATCCTTGTATTTCTGGTTTATTTTGTACTCTTTTTAATTTGTTTTTGTTTTTGGTCTAATTTTTTAATTAAATAATTATGTTTGCCCTTTAATTTCTTTTTGGTTTGATTTCACCTTTATTTTTTTATTTATTATTTTTTTATTTTAAATTCTTAATTTTTTTTCTTTGATTTCATTATTTGGCATTTAATGTATTGAGAATTGAACTTCTCTATTTTTCTTTACATGATATTTCTATTTTAATGATTCGTGTTACAGACTTTAAAAATTATCTATCTAATACATTTTCAAACTCAACTCGACCATCAATTTAGATTAAATTTTAAGTCACGAGTAGGTGGATTAACTCACAAAAATCTAATTTTTTTAAAAAATATAATTATGTAAGAATGATTGTTTTTTTTTTTTAAAGGAAAAGGGTTGGTGAGTTTTTTACTAGGTTTTCTTAGGGCCAAAAAAAAATATAATTATGTAAGAATGATTGTATTTTTTTAAAAGGAAAAGGGTTGGTGAGTTTTTTCTTAGGGCTAATTTGTTGGCCGAGACTATAACTCAAAAATACCCTTTACAACAAACCAAATTCATGGATTTGGGTAGGAGAGGTGCCCAAAGTGTAACCATCCACTCTAGGCACCTCTCTTGCCTAAATTCATGTCTGTTGTCGGTGAACACAATGGGGAAAGCCCAATTAAAGAGGCTTTTCTCATGGAAGTCAAAGCCTGGGCCTTCTTTTTCATACGAGAGTTGGGCTGCTGTCATGATTGCTGGGCTTTCACCAGGGCCTACTCCATGCTCCGACATGCTGCAAATACAGTCACTGTCTGGTTTGCCTTGGTCTACAAAGACGACATCCCAATCATCTGGCAGCTGCAAGGTTATCCACGAAATTTACCCTATTAAGGTCACCTTTCCTTCGTGGGCATTCTTTTGCAAAAGGCCTCGGATCACCGCAGATATAGCATTTGCATTTTGTCTCCCTTTTCCCTTTCTCCTTGTTTCTGATCACTTTCACATGGGTATCATGTGGCTTGCCTTTATAGGTCTTCGCCTTTCGAAGCCCATATTTCTTGCTTTCATAGTAGCCTGGGATGGAGACATTTTTGCAGAACGTGAGATCTTTAAGGCTTCTCTCTGAACTGCAGCTCGTCGGTATATTTCTGTCAGGTAGTTGTAGATAAAGAACACCCGAAGGGGTACTCCTATGTTGTTAACAGGATATTTCATCTTGAAGGCTGCTTCTATATCATTACTAATCATCATGGGCAATTTGCGGAAGAGCTTATCTGTTAACTCTAGTGAAATCCACATTTGTCCTGTTTTGGTTGCTAATCGGAGGTAAGCAGTAAGGAATGAAAAGACATCTTTCATGCTGTCACAAGAAAGTCTTTCCAGGTCTTGGTAGGCACGGTTCTGTTCTTCTGTAGTGCCTCCATAGAGGTCTTCTCCAATAATCATCTTGCGAATGGCAGAGATGATATTTTGTGTTTCATCTGCGCCGTTCAGGACATCTTGATAATCTGCTTCAAACTGCATGCGCCAAGCTATCCACATCCTTCTCTCGTTTTCTCCCAGCAGATTCTCTACGAAGTTTACTTTATCATGGTTGGAGTCAAAGTTCCTGCTGTTTCCGAGGTTTAAGGTTATAGCTTCCCAACAGGCTATGGCTTCAGGGTACTGGCCTATGTCTGCAGGTAAGATTAACATAGCTCCTGCATTGGAATGGGCTGGTGGTAGATTCCAAAACGGCTTATATGGTTTTGTTGGGCCTTTATAAGGTGGGAACATCTCTCTGTGCAAAGCTGAGCCTGGAGGTATGCCAGCATCGGGGGCCGTTGCAGGTAGGAGGCCTACTGGGCCCATGTAAGATTCTCTTGGGGGCCTTCTTGATGGGCTTGTGAGGCAGCTGTGTTTGTTAGGGCTGAATAAACAGCTTCTCTTGTTTCCTGTGTTCCTTTACGGAACTTGGCTTCAAGCTTCTTCAAGGCCGGGTACTCAAACTGTTTGGCCATAGTCGAAACCATATCCGTATTCTGAGGGTCCAGGGACATGGGCTATGGTGCAGGGTCGGGATGGTCAGGAGGATGGCTAGTTGCATCATGATCTCCAGTAGTGACAGTAGCAACGATGAGTAGAATTGCTAGACTTAGTAGCAGCTTTCTCTTTCTAAAATAAAAAATAAAAAATATTTTAAAAAACAATCATAAATAAACTTTCACACATGTTTAAGTATGTAAGCTACATATAATTTCTTGGGCTTTTAGCTTTTAAATTGTTTTAAACCATTGTTGTGCGAGAATCATGCCTCATCTATGCCTGAGCCCTAGCTGGTAGAAGTACTATAAATGGTGTTTGAACTTCAAAACACGAGGCCTAAAAGTTCAAAATCTTTCTTAGGTGAGGATGGAAGATTTTTTATAACATGGTGATTATTTTTTAAAATATTTTTTTTATTTTTAAAATTTGTTTTATATATCAACACAACAAAAACAATTCAAAAACATTAAAACAATAATTTGATAAAAGAGAGTTCAATTTTGACAAGAAAAACAAGTTGAAACTTAATCCCAAACACCCCAAGACAGACCAACTTTCCAAAACCAACTTTTCTCCCTTAAAAAATCATTAAATCATTACAAAATCAAAAGAATTTATAAAATACCATAACAGTCATAAAATTATATTTTTCACCCAAATAAATTAAAAGGAACAATTAAATCTCGGTTGAAAAAAATGAACAAATAGATTAAAAGAAAAACCAGGAAAAAAAATCCAGCCTAAAAAGCACTTCAAGGAGGCGCTAGCCTTGAGGCCTTTCGCTTCATTGAAATCCAACGCACGAGGCTAATAAAGGCGCGCCTCTCGACAACACATGCTACTCGAGGCTGAAAGCCTAGATTTACAGAAAATAATTTACTTCATCTCTCACCATATCTCCTAGGGCAGGACGCATCCAAAGGCGGATTTGGCGATCATTTAATTCGGATTTGGATTTGGAAAAAAGAAAGAAAGAAAGAAAGAGGAGTAGTTAAAAATTTACCCAGTCTCGAGTGAACTGTGACTAGTCCAATGGATAGATAATACAGAGCATTATCAACTTTGTTGAACAAAAATTGTTTATAACGTTGCAAACAACGACTGAACCGACTGGGTGCTGTCCACCTTATTAAGATGTGTAAAAAAAATTGTTCGCTCGCCTACAAAGAAAATCTTAAACGAAAATAAAGAGGGAAAGAAAGAAAACAAAACTGAAGTTCAGCGGAACCATCTCCTTGTTCTCTCATCCTACAACTTAAGACTCATCATAGCCCAGTCGGGTTTTTTTTTTTAATCATAATTTACCTGAGGTAAATAAATTGCAATCACCTGCGACCACCGGTCTTCTTAACAGGAAGGACATCCTCGTCATCTGACTCGATATCTCCATGCACCCACAGCCCACGCCTATCAGCCCGTGCTTCATCCTGGAATTTTTCCAAATTTTCTAGCGCCACCTTCCTTTCCATCGAGTCCCACTTCCTCATCTTTTCTATCCTGGCAAGCCCTTCCTGAAATATCCATGAAGTTAAATTAGCCTTACAGAAAATGTACTAAATGCTTGCCAAGTTTCATACAGTTTGCCAAGTTTCCTGAATATCCATGGCATGCACATGGTGTCGTTTACTAAACCTTCACCTGCTATTAACAACAGAGATTTTACCCAATGACAAGGTGATTAATTTTCCTGAAGTTTATGGGAGCCAGTGTTCACAAGACGTGAAAAAAAGCTTTTTCACAAGATTTAACATCCTTCCAATCATCCTTGGAATAACAGGAAAAACATTACTCATACCTGAACTAGGGCAGCATTTAAGCTGATCTCTGAATCAACAGCGACCAGAGTTACAACAACAACTGGCCCAGTTCCCTGGCCCTTAACTTTCCCTCCAGAAGCATCCCTTTCTTCCACCTTTGCCCTGAACTCTTTTGAACTGTTTAATGTGCTCTCACTAAAATACTGAGCTGCTTCTGGACCACAATCATCCTCCAAGCTTGGAACTTTAATGTACGCTAAGCTGCACAGCTGAGCAAGACCAGGTGCCGCTGACACTGATGGATCAAGAGGCCGTATGTGACTGTATGGAACCTCCTCCTGATTGCCATAATCAATGTAGAACACCTCAAACTTGTCCCTGGGGGACTCAACGCCTCCACGAGGTGCATTCACAATCTTCACAAGTCAAACACAAAATTTGAGGTCAATCACAATGAGCATTTATAGGAATGACAGAGATCCAATGATCTTAACAACAAAAGATAAATAAAGAACCCATGATTCTATTAAGCCAAGTGATGAAAGCATAACATCCACAGAACAGGAGATGGGGACATTCAATCAATGAAAACAAACTGTGAAAGTTAAACTACAGTTAAGATTTAAGCTTTCATTGGATAAAAAGTGGATGAAGATTGAAACCAAGTAGGAGGCTAATTCTCACCATTGCTCGGTTCCATGAATTATCTGCGCTAAACTGAGCAAGCACAATGTCACCCTTCTTGGGATTAAAAGCACCAATTACAGGAGCCTCTTGGAGATTGAGGGAGGCAAGCTGTTGCTGAATAGAGGCTATTTTCTGATCCTCAACTATCTGGACATAGAACCTACCACCATCCAAGACTTCTGTAACCACTACCTGAAAATAGGCATTAAAAGAAAATCAGAGATTGTTGTCTAACATACGAAAGCCATGTCATTCAATAATATCTCCACTACCTTGAGCACTTCTTTCTGTTTGCTTTCAACAACAGGACCACTATTGATTGCCTCTCCTTCAACATAATTCTCCCAAATCTGCAAGAATTTTCAGATTTTTTACTTGGTGATACAATAATCAAGAAAAAGACAGAAGATGCAGTGCATAATGCATTTTTCAAAGTAATCTTTTGTAGATTAATAAGACATGATAATACTTCTTACCTTCAGTTTCTGCCTCTTGGCGGATTGCTCAGCCTGTTCAAGAAGATGTGCATCAGGAATCCTATCAGTGCCAAAGGAAGTTTGAAACCTTGCAAGGCCAGCTTCAAGAAGAGTCACTGCCATGTTAGTCCTTGACTCCCACAAGGATCCCAAGAAAGTTCCGGTTCTATCAACAGTTTCCACTTCAATCTGTGTGAAGGTACATTTATCAGAACAAGGATACAAATCAAGTGGCAAAGCAACCAGATTGAGGAAGGTAAAAATTATACTTCAACATCTCTCTGCATTATCTTTCGTCTCATAAGAGCTATTGCTTCTTCTGAGTAGGGTTCATCACGACCAGGACATCTAACACCAGAGAATGAGAAGGCAATGCTACATGTTTCCTTGGGAATCAACAGTTTAAATCGATGACCACTAAGGACGTATTCAACAACAGCAGATATCCTCCTACTTCTGTGCAGGAATGGCAAGAAGTCCTTTGCTTTCTTGGATGATGACTGTAATAAACACAAAGAGTTTATATGTTAAGACCATGCAGTAAAAAAAGAGATTGCCTTTAGCACAATTATTATAGTTCTAACCGTGGTGAGGTCTGTAATATGCATGACTGGAGGGTCCTTCGCAGAATGAATCCCTTTCTTTCCAGCAATAGCTCTTGATTCAGCAGCAAGAAGGGCATCATAAAAGTTTGATCTTTCCTCAAAATCTCTATGCCGAATCACAGTGCCAAAGCCACGAGAAACCACTAGCTCAGCAACATTAATCCCAGGTTGCTGGCCAGCAGCAGTAGATGGAGCTGTCGAGGCTTCATCACCTTTAGTGGGAGACAGCAGAAAGACTGATCCAAAATCCATAACCCTTGCATCTCCAGGAACAGGGGCAGCTGTGGGTCCGTCTGTCATCTTCCTAGAATATTCCATTCTCACATTCACCTGAAAAACAAATAATCATTAAATGTGATGGTTTTTTCAATCATCAGAATGAAGAAGTTGCCATAGCTTCCATACTTGTCGTCCAATAAGGCGTGTCCTCAAAAACTCCTTAGCTTCCCGGGCATAAGGAGCAGGTTTTTCATCTCTACGAGGATTACCCATTTTTGGACACCTAATGTTTGAAAGATTGTCTCGTCTCTCTGCCAAGGGACTGCCATAAGGCACAGAATCATCCGCCACAATGACACAATCACCACTTACAACCTCCACCACCTAAAGAAGAAACAAAAGTAACTGAGAAGAAATCTTTACTAAATTAGAGATGAATTAGCATGAGCAAGGAATGGACCAACTGCTACCTTTCCAGTAAAATTCTGATCATGGATTGCTTTTGAATTTGTAGCAGGGGGTACATAATTAGTCCAGAACCTCAATCGACTTTTTTTGGCTTGCAGTTCTGCAGTCTTCAGCTGCCGTTTAGCATCTTCTTCCATCATGTTTGCACTCCATTCAACAAATTTTGCCAAACCCTAAATTAGGAGAGGAGGTAGAGAGAGATTCAGAATACCCATATATCTGAAGGATACTGACAAATACTATTAGAAGCAGTAAAGCATCCAAACATGAACAGTTATTCTTAAAACTGAGTATTGGAAACTGCATCAACGCTAAGAAGGTTGTCTCAAACCAGATGCCAGCATGCAAAGGGGGAAGTGTGGCTCAAAAGAAAGCATGAGTAGGGGCAAAGGACCGCAATTTTACAATCAATAAGCTAACCACATAAAAATTAGAACCAATTTCACAAAATCCATTTTAATTTTCATGTGCAGTATTTAATCAATCGAGCCTTCAACGACATAAGAAACCATTAATATGCAACAGAAAACCTGAAGCATATAAGCTCTGATATTTCTCTTAAGGTAGCATGAACTATTGACTATAGCTCTAGATATACAAACTCTGCAGGAATCTAACTAAAGCACAAACTACATCTTTCTTCCTTTATATAGCAACTAACCAAAAGAAAACAAAAACAACATTGTACTAAACACATGTTCCAGTCTTAGGTGAAACATGTAGATGGAATAAATTCGGTTCCATGTTCAAAATTCTTTTTCCATACAAATACTGCACATGCGTGTTTTTACCCTATTCCCTAGTCTGTTTCACAATGATTGATCCCTCCATCCTGCTCGGTAAATGTCAAACCTAGAACCTATTCAGACCCCCTCAACCTTTAACTCCTGGCACTTGATTCAATGCCTCAAGGCTGAATCCAGAAGTGAATGTCCACAAGCTTGCATCAAATGACTGAACAGGCCAAGGCAATATAAGGCAACTCTTTCTTTAGTTATATTACAAAGCATTAATTAACATCAATGATTAACATAACAGCACGATTCAGCACATACATTTTCAACAAGCTCTAGTGCCAAGTCCTTTGCAGATTCCCCATCAGGATAGTATACTGATCCAATCAAATTGCTGAACTTGTCAACACCTTCCAGAACAATGCGGACCTATAAATTCAAATAGAATTTAGACTGTATCTGAAAAAATGCAAATAAAATGAAAGCTTAAAACAGTATTTACTTACATCCCTGTTCAAAGTGCGTAGCTCTGTAAAATATTTGGCTTCCATCCCAAATGGATCAGGAGCAACTTCCGGAGGAGCTGCTGAGGCCGCAAGTCTCTGTGCAGATGTTAAAGGGGCACGAGTTTCAGATGTGTCACCATTTGTTCCATTAGAGGTTGTTACAGTTTCACCAACAGTTTCTATTGCAGCTCTTTTACCCATTGATGGGGCCTAATTTAAGGGGATTCAAGTGTTAGGCATTTATGGACCATGCACCATCACCAGCAAATAACACAGATGGGCAAGGAACAACTCAAGGTATAGAAACATTGCTAATCAGTTTGCAATAGCCATACCTGTATTCCAGCAACAAACACCTGAACAAATTGAAAGTCTGGAAGCAAGTAGACACGGATGGTACTGCCATCACGAACCTGCTCCACAATGCATTCCATGGGTGTTCCCTTGTTTGCAGCTAGCAGACCCATAGCATCAAAATTACTCGAATCACCAATGGCAGAGGGGGGTAGATTTCTGATTGATGCCTCTGCGGCTCCTGGTGCCTAGGATCAGAAATAAGAGAGGAATGGGCATTAAGTCAAATTCAGTCGCATAGATTTACATTCCAAGAACATGAATGGAATTCTTAAAGCAACTTGTCCCAGTCTAGCACATAATTATTGAGGTCACTAAAGAGGCTGTATTATTTTTTTCCGTAACTCAGAAACAAGCCCAGCTTAACTTCAAAAATCATGCAATTA